AAACACGTTTTTAAATATTATTAAATATTTAAAAATATAATACTTTTGAATATATGTATAAAATACTTTTTTTATCTATTAAAATAAAATATCGCTCAATATTTTATACCTGTTAAATACGTATGTACAAAGGTATTTGAAAATGTTTTCATATAATAAATTAATAGTCCTAAATTATATACAATTAAAAATTTTTAATAAGTTTTATTTACTTAAATGTAACGTGTGAGACAAAATAAAAATATTTCTGAAAAAATATTGTTTTGGATTCATTAAATACATCATTAATATGTAAATTAAGAATCCTTAAGAACCCCCCTTAAGAACTATTCTTGTATTAAAATTAAAACGAGCTGATGCTTATATTAGTACTATAATACAATTTGAAATTCATTTCTGAATCATGCAAAATATAATTTTAAATTATATCTCTGGCGATCATATCGTTCTGTAATAATCAGCGGTAGTTTAGTAACACACAGAGATATGAATAAAAGAGTAATTAAATTTTCATTTCATTGGCGCCACATGGACGGCGATATCAGCGCGGAAATTCAGTGATAAATACAATCTTCGAGGTCTACAATTACATTTCAACACTCCGTGCTAAAGGAGAACAGATTGCGCTACGAGTTGCAATGCACGCATGTAATTTTCAGACATTTTCTTCGCAAAATCCTTGTTCTTATCGTCAGCGAGTGACCCACGGAAGTGACTTTTGACCCTGTCTGTGACTTCGCCATTGCTAAATCGTAAATTCGTAATTTTGCTTGTCCTTGAATTTTTTACAATGTAAATGTGTATTTCTTAGTTTAAAGCAATAAAGATTTATCGCTTCGTCGATTTGACGTTCGTTATCTGGTATTTGTAAAAAGAAATGAAGATACTACCTTCAATATCTTTGTCAATGACGGCAGAGTGAATAAGACGATGTTAAAACGAACTCACGGAAACATGTGTGGAGCAAAAAACAAAAATAATTTATCGTAGGCTATTATAAGTACAATAAATAATATGTCATGTCTATAATTGCTATAATAGTTTCTACTATTTAATAACGATTTACCGGCATCAGCGGTAGTAGCAACAGCGACGTCCTCGAAAGTGAGTTTTCATTCAATGCGGAGGCATGTGGGGTGTAGTCGGATCGTGATCTATCGTCAAGGTTAATGTTCTACTGCGCGATAATATCCATACATAGTCGCAAAGGTTAATTTCGACTAAAAGGCTAAATGCGTTAATGATTTCAATCGGACTTTAATGCCACGACGAGAGCCTCGGGTCATGACAAGTAGACGACATATTATTTATCGCACACGCAAGAATCGCGCAAGTACCTACTTGGGAAAAATTTGTTTTCCTGCGAATCACCCTGGTATATCTTTTACTTCTTATCCTCGTACATTCTTTTTATTTCGTCTATAATTCAAAAAGCAACGAAATTGAATATCGACAAAGATAAATGGAACATAAATTATTTCGGCACCGCGTGACGCGTGTCGTTTATCTCGCACTGGACGTCCAGACGAATATATTTCGGTATGAACTGAATAAGACCGCAATTATGCAACGACAGGCTGATGCAAATAAGCGTTGTCTCCGGAGAAAAATGATGCATGTAAAAACTGAAATGTCAACTAGATAGAATGGTTAATAGCAAATGGCTAATAGCAAAATATAGTAAGTTTTCGTTAATGCCGCGTTATATAATGACAAATAAACAAAATGTCTTTCTTGCGATGTTAATATAACTAGTTTACCATTATATCATTATTTCATATCAATTACTTACTGTCATGTGTGTACAATCTTGATAAGAAACGTAAATTAATAAAATGGAACAGCGCAGCATGTACTATTTATATTGTATAAAATGTTCTAAACATTTGCGTTACCTTTAACATTGAAAGAGGTGAACTTGCGATAAACGATGGCCTTTCACGACTTCCTTGCTAAAGAAAGATCAAGAATCCAATTTCATCACAGAATCTATCAACACTGTTAAATTCGTTACATTAAATTCTATTCAAGTTTAAATGATTTTTTTAATCATTTCAATAAGTCGTCACTACTCTTATTCAATATGTTGTTAATTTAATTTAAAAAATGAAATTAAACAAATTAGGTGAACAAATTTACTAAATTTTATTTAAATTTAGTTTAAGTTTCATTTAAGTGCATACGTTAATAATGAATGTAATTTATTTATATTTTGAAACAGGGGTGCACACGTTAATTATAGACGTGGTTTATTTTGAAACTGGAGTGCATACGTTAATTATGGACGTGGTTTACTTTAAAACGAAAATGAATTTATTTATTATATTAATATTTTGACACACATATGGAAGTTAAACATAATAAAATTTAATTTAACGAATTGGATTACTATTACTCTTTTCATATCTAACAAATTAATTTAAATAGATCATTTTTTTATAGTAAAATTAGTATACACTTTTTATACTTAAAATGAAACAAGCATTATATCTGACATTTAGTAGAAATAAGAAGGAAAGTTTTAATGCAACCTAATGCAACAACAAAAAACAAATCTAAAGTCTGTATCAGATTAGAGATTAATATTGAGATTGGATTGGAATTTGATCAATAAAGAAGAAAGAAAATTAATATCAAGGTTAGTGAACTTTGCTTTGAGTGATCAAATTCCAATTTAATTTTAATTGTTATCTCTCTACGTTATTAAATTCATAATGTCAAATTAAATTATATTACGTTCAATTTGAGAAGATTTTTAATTTAATCTTTTAGGTCATCACTGCTCCAATATGTAGTTAATTTAACTACAAGTATGTAGTTAAATAATTTAACTCAAGATGTTAAATTTGACTCAATTTAGTTTATTATTTATTAAATACATACATCAATATGGATATTGTTTTCTTTGAAACTAATCACAAAAATGAATTAATTTACATTTTGATATACAAGTTGAAAAAAACATGAAGTTAAAAATAACAAAATATTATTTAAAGATTAAATCACACGATGTTCGATTTCTTGAATGGTAAGCATGCACGCATGCATGCATGCATGCATGCATACATGTATGCTGCTATGTTTGCTTTGATGCATATAGTCTGACGTTTAACAAATAACTATGAAATTAGTAATTATTTCTTTTGATTGGTGCATGCAAGGAAATAAGCCATGAAGTAATCCATAATAAATATAAAAATTATGTATATGCAGCATGCAGCGATCAATATATAAACGAATTCTAGCATTAGAGCAAACATGCTATTATTCAAGAAATCGAGTATCGTGTGATTCCATTTTTAAATAACATTTTGTTATTTTTAACTTCATGTATGTCAAAATGTAAATTAATCCATTTCTGTGATCAGTTTCAAAGAAAATAATATCCATATTGATGTATGTATTTAATAAATAATAAAAGGGCTTAAGTTACCATTGCTCATTTGACATCTAACAATCTGATACGGGCTTAATCTTCAATTGGTGTGATAGATCCATTAGACTTACATCGAGTTTAGTAGAAACTTTATTAACTATTTTAAATAAGAATCAAAGCGAGCGAGATTGACTCTGATTATTATAGTTCTTATTATTAATTTGGATTAAAAGGAGATATAAATGAAGGTCCAAAAATTAAAAAGATATAATAAAAATGTTCTCAAAATTAATGAATCCCATTTTGTTAGCCTTTGAAAGATGAGATTCCAATGAACCCACGATGTTAGAAATGTATCATTTTTTCACGATATTCTAGTCAAGAATTAATGAAAGACTTGTTCAATCACACTTCGTGCGTCCGTAAAATGATTCTACGTGAATCCACGATAACATGTGTTGTTGCGCGACAGCGCACATGGTACGCATCTCGCGCGAGGAAACTGCGTTTACGCGGAACATACAGCACGGCAACTGCATCCACATTGTTCGTGCACCACGTAAAACGAGATCTCACGCACCAGCGAGTGTATATGTATAGATACCTGGCGCGATTCTTTCAGACAGTCCGGAATTCCGTTCTTTTGTCTAATTCTGGCAACAGAGCTGCGGGGAAAGAGATAAAAGAGAGACAGACAGACAGAGAGAGAGAGAGAGAGAGAGGGGGGAGAGAGAGAGGGGGAGAGAGAGAGAGAGAGAGGAATGGTGGAGCATCACGGTGGAGCGCGCGTGTAGGCGATCACGCGATTTCGCGATCATGTCTCATCGCGGCGACTCCAATACGCAATTGTCAGTGCCGCGCCGACTGCCGCGCCGAGTGAACGTAAGGAGAGTGTTGTTCCTGCGCATACTGCCTGTCACCGAATATATCGCTCGCAAAATCGGAATCGCTGAGAACAGCAGCCGTAGCCAGCAGAGACTTTCTTCTCTCAGCAGAGACACGCAGTGTTCCCTGACGCGAGTGACGGAAAGTCAAGGTGCTCCGATAAAACGAGAGAACGTCTGATGAAATAAATAAAAAAGAGAAAGTTTCAAGTGCTGACCAAAAATTGACAGTTCACGCACGCGGACGAATGTGCGATCTCCTATGCTCGTTAGTGAGAAATTATGAGCGTATCGAACTTGTACGCGATTAGATAGAGTGGCATAAAGGCGGCGAGTTCGTCGCGTCAAATTCAATGGATGAAAGTTTGCGGGCGAGCACCGAACGACCTCGTAATCCATGCGAAAACGTGGCCTTGCCTGCGGATCTCCGATGCCGCTGCCACCGTGTCTACAAGTTTCCTTGATACTCGCGATAGCGAGCACGGCGACGAGATCAGGAATATAAACAAAGCAGACACGTAATCAGCGTGTGTAATCGGCGCATAGTGGGATGCAGAGATTTTAATTCCCGCGTGAGAGAACGTCGTCGATCTACGCCGCGGCTTTTGCTTAGAGAGGTGCAAGGGCGCCTCTCGAGATCGATTCCCGTTTGTGGAAGTAAGTTTACCAGCACAGCTTTCATATTTCGTCTCGTATGAGACGCGACGCTTCCCGCAGCATACGCTGCAACCCGAGAAAATCCTATTTACGCTATTACGCTTTTCGCATCCAAGTTGATATTACAATATTCAAGAAACTGGGCTATCGTTTAATATTTCCTTACATGTTACATGTAACCGCATGCGCACAAAAGAATTTTCAATTGCTTTTTACGCAGCACTAACGGTAATTAGAATTTATCATCATAATGAATGGTTAATTGTTGAACGTTTTGGAAATTTTCAGTTGCGAAAGTTGTATCTCTTTATCTAAATTCCGGTAAATTATTATCTATCTGTTAAGCTGATAATTTTTAAAGACGTTGTTATTACCTTTTCTGTTAATATATTATTAAATAAATTTTTGTCGTCTTAAACTTTGCGAAATTTTATGGGGAAAACACTACTGTTCGTAAATGAAGATCATTCTGTTGCATTTAAAAATCGCTACGTACAATGAAAGGAAAGATTGAGTTCGTGCTATATTTACGTCGGCGCGACTCTTGTATCACCAATCCTAATCGAGACGACGTGCCAAGAAATGTGGGTAAAGCATTTGGCGCACTTTGTGGAATTGTTGGGGCACTGTCTCTCGTCATAAATAAGAGTGCGTGACTCGTTTAAGACTCGTATAGAAGTCATGATGATCATCTGCGAATACATAAGAAATTTTAAGTCTCGTTTTCGATGAAAATTTATCATCACGGAACTATTACATAAATCACAATTCTAGACATCGCAAAACAAAACAATTTAAATAGGCTTAAAAATAATCTGAAAAAACCCCTTTTCTTGGCAAAGCCGAGAGGAATAATACACACAGAAAAATACGCAAATAATAATTACTCTATGTAAATAATAATTACTTATTTCAAAAGTTCACATATCCGCGAATCTATCATAAGTTCATTACAAGCATTAAATTTATTCAAAATATATTCCTCTAGTGTAAGTTTAATACTTCAATCAAATTTATTAAATTAAAAGAAATTCGATTTGCTAATTATGAAAAGAACCTTTTTTCAATTAATTTTATAATATTCTTTCTAAAAGGAAAATAAATTCTTGTTTTGAATACATAATGAGTTTTTCTGAAATTTTATAATAAGTATGTTTTAAGATTATTATCAAGAAAATATATTCTTTGTTAAAGATAACCTCGTTACTTAAAAGAGAAAGAAAATAAATTGAATAATCATTTTTCTTATAGAC